CCCCCGGGCGCCCGGTGGGCGAACGACCACGCCCCCTGGCGCCCGGGAACCCCAAATGGTTGGGGACCACTGCTATAGGCAGTTAGATTGCAAAAGTGTTCAGAGGTTTCTTTCCCAATGAGCTTTCCTTAAATGATTTGATGGCTTTAAAATGGTTCTGAAAATATAAAAAAACTAAGCAGAGGGCTTTTGACTCTTCCTCTCCTCCTCAAGAGGTTTCAGAGTCTGAGACACCACTGTCTTCATATCATGTACTTTGGAAATGCATCTGACAAGCTTTCTTCCTGTCAAATACTGTGATCTTTAGAGAGGAAAGATAAATCTCTGTGGTCAAAGCAAAAGTCTGGGAGTCAGGAGACCTGAGTTCTGTTCGTAGCTCTTTGGCAGACTTCCTGTGACAGGTTACTTGCTTTGATTGTGTCTACACCGGGATTTTAATTTCGAATGGGCGCAGCTCCATGTGTGATTTGACAAGGATTAGATGACGTGGTAAAAAAAAACAGACAAATCTTTTTTGTGACTTCTACCCATGCTTGGATCTGTACTTGTTGGGAATGGCATATCAGAAAATGCTAATGTGGACTAGGTTTCTGTGCCTTAATTTCCTCTTTTATGAAATTAGGATAACCCCCTTTCACATGAAAGTCATTAACAGATGTAAAACATTTTGCGCTTTCCATCCCGGGATCTTTTTAGAAATACCTGTCATTAAATAGTATCTGGCTACAAAAAGGGTTCCTTTGATGCTGCAATGAGCTCCAAGGGTGAGCACACGCTCTCTCTCTCAAATATATATATTAAAAATCCGGCACCCTGTCCCCTCACCTTTCCCCATTGTGTCCCCCCCCCCCATCTTGTTTCATATTGCCGTACCTAGCTAAAGAAAATATTAATTGGTATGATTATTATAGATTCTCTTTAATTGCAGGCATATGTGTTGTATTATTAGCACACTGGTGGCTGTTTGCTAATAAAGGGTTGCTATAATATTGACAGATTGTTTTCAGCTTCTGCATTGTTATTTGTAAGTGTTGATTATTGCTAAGCAGATGCAGATCAGTGATGAGAGGAATGACTTGAACTGGATTAAGGCAATAATAAAAGGTGTTTTGGTGGTGGAGCATAAGAGTACTGAACTTCTAGTGTCTGTGACAGAGCTCTATGGCTCTGCCCTGGTTGAGTGTTTTATTTCTGGCAGCGCTTGCCAGTGATCGCTGTTGTTGAACTGCTGGTTCGCACAGTTTTCAATGCAGGAGTAGCCAGGACAAACCATTTTTAATTCATTTTTAAAACAAACTATTCAAACCTAAGCCAGAGTTCAGTAGTTCCATGCCAGCTGTCAGCCACTGATGCTTTTTTTTGGTTAAGACAAGGCTAGAGTGAGCAGGCACTGAACTCAGAGTTTCTTTCTAGCATGTGTTAAATAGCAGCATTTCTGCAATGGTATGTGAGAAAAGCTACCAGGAAAGTAGTGGAGCAGGCAGAGTATAAAATAGAAGGTTTGGATGAAATTTGGAAAAACAAGAAAGAAGGAATTGTCAGCTCTGTGGTCTGATAGGGTCCATTTTGTACTCATTGGTAGCTGCTTTTTTTAATACAGTACAAAACTAGTAGCGGACCCTATAGTTAAGGTTGCCCAATCTGTCCCATTATAAGAAGGACCCTACTAAATTCATGGTCCATTTTGGTCAATTTCATGGTCATAGGATTTTTAAAATAATAAATTTCATGATTTCAGCTATTTCAATCTGAAATGTCATGGTGTTTTAATTGTAGGTGTCCTGACAGGGTTATTGTAGGGGGATTTGCTATGCTGCTACCCTTACTTCTGCACTGCTGCTGAGCACTGGATGGACAGAGAGAAGGATGGCTGCTGTCCAGAAGCCCAGCTCTGAAGGTAAAGCCGCCTCCGGCAGCAGCCCAGCAATAAGGATGGCATGGTATTTCCACTCTTATTTCTGTGCTGCTGCTGCAAGAGCACTGCCCCCAAAACTGGGTACCTGGCTAACAGCAGCCACTCTCCAGGTGCTTGGCTCTGAAGGCAGTATTGGAATTAAGGATGGCAGTAATGTGGTCCCCTGAAATAATCTTGTGACCCCCCCCCAAACTCCCTGTTGAGTCAGAACCCCCAGTTTGAGAAAAGCTGGTCTGCCCTGTGAAATCTGCATAGTATAGGATAAAGGCACACAAAAGACCAGAGTTCACAGCTTGTGACATGTTCTGTATGCCCATGAATTTGGTAGAGCCCTAATTATAAGACCTGATTATCCATTGCTTATAACTTTGCCAGTCTTTAGTGGTTCAGGCTGAATGGGTATCTGCCACCAGCTGAATTTTTTAGGGTAAGGTTTCAGCAAAAATCAGCTCTGCCATCTGCAAGAATAAAATTAGGTGAAAATGCTAAGAATTTAGGGAAGAGTCTGATCGGATGAGTAGTTGAGGTCAGGATGGTGGAGAGAGTCAGGGGCCTGGCTTGGAGATGGGCAGGGTAAGGAAGAAAAATCCTCTGTGTCCCACTGTTTACTGTCACTTATTGCTCTTTTGAAGACTTGAAAAGCAGCTTTGGTGCAATTGCCTTTCCCCTTGAGTATGGGAGGGGGAATCCTATCTCTAAACCTGCATTTTTGACCTGCAAACTAACCACTTTCCTAATAAGGTATTTGCATACTCCTCACATCATCTTCCTTCACTGGTGGTCAGCTCTCCCAGCCATGTTTGCATTTGTCAGTTTCAGGACATAAAATTGCCAGAGTTTGACTGTTACTACTGGTTAGCGTTCCTCCTTGTGTTAACTGTAGTGTTACACTTATTTGGCACGCTTTTTCTCCTGATCTTCAGCATTCCTGTCATTCTAGTACTGAAACCCCACTCCTAGGCAGATCGCGTCAATGTACTAACTGCCGTACTGTGCCGGATGACTAGATTAAGACCTGGAAGAACTCTCTTAATTTTGACTAGGAGCACTGCATTCAAAACAGAATTGAAAAGTTAGTATTCCTCAACAAACATGCCATCTCGCTTTGCGGTGCTAGGAATATGTTCTGCAGACACAACACTGATCAGGAAAAGGTATGGGGGTCCAATGTGAAGTATCATATGAATTTATAAGAGTGGAATTATTAGGAAGGAAGAGAGGGATTAAAGCCCACCCTACTGTGTTGGGTGGGAGTAAGGGGAGAAGAAGGGAAGATGGCACTGCTGGAAGGTGGGAAAATAGTGAGCCCCTTTCCAAGCATTGTGAAGGGGTAGCCTGTTAATTGTCTCATGAGCTGAATCTATCATTGATGGGCAGCATTATCATTGGCTCGGCATGTGTTCTTTGTCTGCCACAGGAATATGCTTTGTGCAGTTAAAGCAGGTCCTGTATATTGTGTGTGTGTGTGTGTCTTTTTCTTTTCCCCTTCTGTTGCAGAGAGCCAACTGTTGCCTGGGAATAACTTCACAAATGAATGCAACATTCCTGGAAACTTCATGTGCAGTAACGGGCGCTGTATCCCAGGGGCCTGGCAGTGCGATGGGCTGCCTGACTGCTTCAAA